GGGGGGGGGGGGTCACAGGGATATAACAACCTTTGTCTCCCCTCTCCCTAGTACAAGCACCAGGTTGAAGACACCAAGAAAGAGAAGAGAACCCGCATTCCCTACAAACCCAACTACAGCCTCAACCTCTGGAGCATCATGAAGAACTGCATCGGGAAGGAGCTGTCCAAGATTCCCATGCCAGTGAGCACAGATGCAGCCAGCGGGTGGGTGTGGGGCACTGCAGAACCCCCTTTTTTTGACCCGTTCCCTCTTCCAGGTGAATTTCAATGAGCCGCTGTCCATGCTGCAGCGGCTGACGGAGGACCTGGAATACCACGAGCTCCTGGATCGGGCAGCGCGGTGCGAGAGCTCCCTGGAGCAGCTGTGCTACGTGGCCGCTTTCACCGTGTCCTCCTACTCCACCACCGTCTTCCGCACCAGCAAACCCTTCAACCCACTCCTGGGGGAAACCTTCGAGCTGGATCGCCTGGAGGAGAACGGATACCGCTCCCTCTGCGAGCAGGTGTGGCCGGCTCCTCTCTCCCAGCCTTTCCTTGGGCCATTGGGATGGCTGGCACTGAGCTGTCCTCAATCCCGTGTCCAGGTGAGCCACCACCCGCCGGCCGCTGCCCACCACGCCGACTCCAAGAACGGCTGGACGCTGCGCCAAGAAATCAAAATCACCAGCAAATTCCGAGGGAAATACCTCTCCATCATGCCTCTGGGTGAGCCCCGCAGGAGTGTGTGGGATTTTTGGGACTGCCTGAGGCTTCAGTTGTGGTTCCCAGCACAGTCTCCTTCCCTCAGGTACCATCCACTGCGTCTTCCACTCCTCCGGCCACCACTACACGTGGAAAAAGGTGACGACCACCGTGCACAACATCATAGTGGGGAAGCTCTGGATAGACCAGGTGGGAAGTCGTGAATGGGAGCTGTATGGAAGCGTGGATCCCTGGGGGATGGGGCATGGGTGGGTCTGACTGTCTTCTCCCCTCCACAGTCAGGTGAGATTGAGATCGTCAACCACAAGACAGGGGACAAGTGCATCCTCAAGTTTGTCCCTTATAGCTACTTCTCTCGGGATGTGGCAAGGAAGGTAGGGACATGGAGCCATGGGATACCCTGGGCTGCTCGTGACTGTGGTGTGTCCTAATCCAGGCTGTCCCCTCTCCCGCCAGGTGACCGGGGAGGTGATGGACCCCTCGGGAAAGGTGCATTTTGCCCTGCTGGGCACGTGGGACGAGAAGATGGATTGCTACAAGGTCCAGGTGGGAACAGGGGACAACGGAGCTGAGGCGCGGCCACGAGCCCACGAGGCCGAGGACAGCCGGGTGCTGCTGTGGAAGCGGAACCCTCTCCCGTGAGTGGGAAAAACGGGAATGAGGCAGCCCTGGGAGCTGGGCTGTGGGGCCGGCGCTGAGTCCCATTCCTTGCCATGCCTTAGGAAGTATGCAGAGAACATGTACTACTTCTCGGAGCTGGCGCTGACCCTGAACGCGCCGGAGAGCGGGACGGCCCCCACGGACAGCCGGCGGCGCCCGGACCAGCGCCTCATGGAGAACGGGAGGTGGGACGAGGCCAATGCCGAGAAGCAGCGGCTGGAGGAGAAACAACGGCTCTCTCGAAAGCGCCGCGAGGCCGAGGCCACCCGCGCCACCGAGGATGGTAAGGCGGGGCTGTCAGACAGGGATGTCGCCCCTCAGTGTCCCCCCCAGGCCCTCACCCCGCTGTGCCCCCCAGGAACACCCTACGATCCCTACAAACCGCTGTGGTTCGAGCGGAAGAAGGACCCGGTGACCCAGGAGCTGGCGCACATCTACAAGGGGGGCTACTGGGAGAGCAAGGAGAAGCAGGACTGGAGCTTGTGCCCAGATATTTTCTGAGCCCGGCGAGGAGGAGGAGGAG